GCTCCCCCTTGCCCAGATGGGATGATCAACGTGGACATGGGCGACAAGAGAGCCCTGGACCTGCCCTACGCCCCCGGCTTCGCGCCCGGCGCRCCGCCCGCCCGCAACCAGACCTTCACCTACATGGGCAAGTTCTCCATCGACCCGCAGTACCCCGGCGCCGGCTGCTACCCCGAGGGCATCATCAACATCGTGAGCGCGGGGATCCTGCAGGGGGTCAGCACGCCCAACTCCTCCTCCGCTGCCGCCGCCGCCGCCTCCTCCGCCGCCTCCTCCGCCTCCGCCTCGGCCACCGCCGCCTCCGCCGCCTCCCCCAGCGCGCTGCCCGGGGCCCTGGGCTGCCCCATGGCGCAGGGCCAGCCGGCCGACCTGGAGCACCTCTACTCGCCGCCGCCGCCGCCCTACTCGGGCTGCGGGGAGCTCTACGCGCAGGACCCCTCCTCGGCCTTCCTGCCGGCGGCGGGCGCGGGGGCGCTGCCCTTCCCGCCGCCGCCCTCCTACCCCTCGCCCAAGGCGGCGGCGCCCGACGGTGGGCTCTTCACCATGATCCCCGAGTACGGCGGCTTCTTCCCGCCGCCGCAGTGCCAGCGGGAGCTGCACGCCGAGCGCAAGCCCTTCCCCTGCCCCCTCGACTCGCTGCGCGTCCCGCCGCCCCTCACGCCGCTCTCCACCATCCGCAACTTCACCATGGGGGCACCAGCGGCGGGCTCGGCGCCCGGCGCTGCCCCGGGCGGCGGCGGCGGCGGCGGGGAGGGCGCGCGGCTGCCCGGCGGCGCCTACAGCCCGCACCACCTGCCGCTGCGCCCCATCCTGCGGCCCCGCAAGTACCCGAACAGGCCGAGCAAGACGCCGGTGCACGAGCGGCCCTACCCGTGCCCCGCCGAGGGCTGCGACCGCCGCTTCTCGCGCTCCGACGAGCTCACCCGGCACATCCGCATCCACACGGGCCACAAGCCCTTCCAGTGCCGCATCTGCATGCGCAACTTCAGCCGCAGCGACCACCTCACCACGCACATCCGCACGCACAC